TACTTACTTACTTACGGTACTTACTTACTTACGGTACGTACTTACGGTACTTACTTACTTACTTACATACATACTTACATACTTACATACTTACGGTACTTACTTACTTACGGTACTTACTTACTTACGGTACTTACTTACTTACGGTACGTACTTACGGTACTTACTTACTTACTTACATACATACTTACATACTTACTTACTTACGGTACTTACTTACTTACGGTACTTACTTACTTACGGTACTTACTTACTTACGGTACGTACTTACGGTACTTACTTACTTACTTACTTACATACATACATACATACATACTTACATACTTACTTACGGTACTTACTTACTTACGGTACTTACTTACTTATGGTACTTAATTACTTACGGTACTTACTTACTTGCTTACAAACATACATACATACATACTTACATACATACATACTTACTTACGGTACTTACTTACATACATACATACATACATACTTATTTACTTACAGTACTTACGTACTTAGAACCTGTCACTGGTTGCCACGGTGTTCCCGCCTTTTTCCAAGGAGAGGGCGGGGCAACGGAAAACACCAACCCGAGACAAACGGTCGCTGCGCGAAAAGTAGGATTTATACTGAAAAAACTCTTGATCCACAAACGGCAGGAGGTTCTTACCTTACCCTTTGTTTGTTTCTTTGTTTCTACTGTGTTTAATATTGGAGATATAACAAGAAAAATCTTAAAATGCTTTAATTCTTACCCATGTAGCAACTTCGGCTAACATTTTAGCAGCTCAAAATTACAGGAAGAAAAACCTGAACAGCCATAAACACAAAATATCTASAATTAGTAAAAGTAAGTAAATAATGAGTTGTTAAAGAAACACTTAGAACAATACCAAAAATGTAAAATTAACAAAAACAGTAGTGAAAAATTAAAGAAAGGAAACTGCTGTTAAAGATAAAAGTTGCGAAACCATGTGTAAATTTGCTAAACTACAGCTAAAAGCTAAAGTTGGCAAGACCATCATTAAAAGCTTAAATCAGCAAAACAGCAGCTAAAAGCTAAACAAAATGTCATTAGATAAAAATAGATCAGGATTTGTTGAAGTAGATTTCAAAGAGAGCAATTCTTTTGAAGACATTTTAAAAAGCATAAAAAGTTACAAATATCTGATTCCTGATCAAACCAAACATTTTTAAGGGTTAAAACCAGTGGTAGGAACAATTCCACTAATCTGCTAATATCAGAACTAGCTTCTCATTTAGCAGATTAGCTTTTGTGCTAACTTAGCGGAACGTTTAGCTGCCACTGAATTAGTTTCTGCTAGTTTTGAGCCCACTAAAAACTCACAAGTGTTAAACTATTTTTATGCTGTTTATTCTGAATTAAACAAAAACTATCCCCTCCTACAAGGAGTCGTGGACGTGTCAGGCACCGTGTGTGTAGCATGTAGCTTCTTTAGCAGCTAAGCTCCAAGTTAAGAGTGTCAAAAACAAATGAAATAACTAATTTATGTGTGGTAGAGAAAGTATTTGCTATTTGTTGTTTGACTAAATTCAAACAGTATTTAGTGAACTATGAACTTGATTGAAGGAATGCTTTTATTCTGAAAGGATTAAACTGGAAGTGTCACAAGTTAGAAAGAGCTATGACTTATGAACCATTTAAAACCTAGCATGTTTGTGTCAGTCCTAACAGTATTCATCTAGTAGGAGGCAAAGACTGATACTGGCATTAACACAGCTAAGATTCTTGTTTAGCAGATCAGCATTTTGCAGCCAAGATTCTTGTTAGTGGATTAGCACTAACACAGCTAAGATTCTTGTTTAGCAGATCAGCATTATGCAGCTAAGATTCTTGTTTAGCAGATTAGCATTATGCAGCTAAGATTCTTGTTTAGCTGATTAGCATTAATGCAGCTAAGATTCTTGTTTAACAGATTAGCATTATGCAGCCAAGATTCTTGTTAGTGGATTAACATTAACACAGCTAAGATTCTTGTTTAACAGATTAGCATTATGCAGCCAAGATTCTTGTTAGCAGATTAGCATTAACACAGCTAAGATTCTTGTTTAGCAGATTAGCATTAATGCAGCTAAGATTCTTGTTAGTGGATTAGCATTAACACAGCTAACATTCTTGTTTAACAGATTAGCATTAATGCAGATAAGATTCTTGTTTAACAGATTAGCATTAATGCAGCTAAGATTCTTGTTAGCAGATTAGCATTAACGCAGCTAACATTCTTGTTTAGCAGATTAGCATCAATGCTGCTAAGACTCTTGTTTAGTGCATTAGCATTGGCTCAGCTAAGACTCTTGTTAGTGGATTAGCATTAACACAGCTAAGATTCTTGTTAGCAGATTAGCATTAACGCAGCTAACATTCTTGTTTAGCAGATTAGCATTAACACAGCTAAGACTCTTGTTAGTGGATTAGCATTAACACAGCTAAGACTCTTGTTTAGCAGATTAACATTAGCTCAGCTAAGACTCTTGTTAGTGAATTAGTGTTTATTAAACCTAACTTTTGGTTAGCGGTTCGGTTTAGTTAAAAAAGTTATAGTTCTGGTTCTGTTCCTGCAGACTGCAGCATGGAGCGATCCGGCAGCATCCAGCTGGACATTCCTGACTTCAGTAACTCGGTCCTGACTCACCTGAACCAGCTGCGGGTCCAGGGCCGTCTATGCGACATCGTGGTCAACGTTCAGGGCCAGAGTTTCCGCGCGCACAAGGTGGTCCTCGCTGCCAGCTCGCCTTACTTCCGCGACCACATGTCTCTTAGCCAGATGAGCACGGTGTCGCTGACGGTGATCCGGAACCCGTCGGTGTTCGAGCAGCTGCTGTCCTTCTGCTACACGGGCCGCCTCTGCCTGCAGCTCGCCGACATCATCAGCTACCTGACCGCCGCCAGCTTCCTGCAGATGCAGCACATCATCGACCGCTGCACCCAGATCCTGGAGGGCATCCACCTGAAGATCAGCCTGGCCGACCTGGACGAGGGGTCCCGGGAGGAGGAGGCGGGCCGGGGGTCCAGGAGCAGCAGGACCCTAGAGGCCGTGGTGCGAGGAKGGGGTCAGCACGGGAGTCTGCGGCTGCTCGGCCCGCGTGGTGGCGCCGAGCCGTGCGAGGTGGTCAGCCCGGCAGAGGAGCCGCTCAGCCCGCCGCCGACCGTCGAGCACAGTGGTCTGGAAGGGTCCGGGGCCACCAGCAGCCGCCAGGGCAAAGAGCCCATCCTCCGCATAAACCGGGCGGGGCAGTGGTACGTGGAGACCAGCAGCGAGCCGGACCGGACCGACAGCGCCGAAGAGGGGGTGGACGGAGTCCGGATCAAGACGGAGAGGATGGAGGACTGGATCGGAGCCGGGGAGCAGCAGGAGGAGGGGGGCCCGATGGAGGAGGGGGCCACAGTCATGATCGACACGTCGGGGCGCAGCACGGTGGTGACGGCGCCGCTGGGAACCCGCCGCGTGCAGCCGTCCTCCAGCTTCAGCGAGACGGACAGGTGAGTTCCCCGGTAGCTCCGGGTTCCTCCTGCCGGTCCGGACCCGTCTGAAGGTGTCTGTTTCTCAGGTTCAGTCCCACCGGCAGCGTGGTGGTCCTCACGGAGCGCCAGAGAGCCAAGAGCGAGTCTCCGAGCAGAGCTGACGAGCTGCGGCAGCCGAACTCGCAGGTAAAAACTGGACCTTCACTCATGACGTCACACACATCATAAATGATCCGTGGCTCGCTCAAAAGATCAGACTGAAGGTCTAGGTTCTAGAACACGAGTCGTTCATGGTTCTGCAGAGAGTTGGTGTTAAAACCAGAACAGAAAAACACCTTTCTAGATGAATCACAGGTAAGTTCAGTTTAAAGGTTGTCTGGAGGGTCGAGGGCTTCAACAGGCTTAAAAAGCGACAGGAATTTTTGTGTTTTTACTAGGGATGTCCCAATAMCACTTTTTCACTTCCGATACGATACCGATATTGACCCGTTACCAAAACAGTACAAGTCACACACTTTTACCTCATTTGTAATGTAAAATCTTAGAAAAGTCTTGATCAAGTCAAACAGTGAAAAAGAGTAGGTATGAGAAGAACTGACCCATTTATTTTTAACCAATGGATGACATACATTTTAAACTGAAGAACATTATACAATTTAATAAATAAAATTAATTACAATACCCTGAAAAAAAATAACATAATAAAAACAAAATGAACTTTTAAAGTATAAAATAATTCAAAATCACTCCAGTTATTTATTTTTTTTTACCATCTGTCAGCCTGGTGCTGCTTTATGGTGGGAATAACTGAAGGTGGGGACAAAACAAAACCCCACATTATTGTCTGTTCAAAGTTAAGAGTCCACAGCTACAATTTTACTGACTGTAACTAAAACAACGTGATCATTGATAGATAGATAGATCTTTATTTGCCATTTGTGCATATACAGCAGTTTATACACACTGGAATTCTTGTGTGGGCATCTCTCCTAGTCACAGTATAGATGACAGAACAGTAATGATAGAAAAAATATTATAAGGTCTAAGAAAACAGTATAAGAACAATAAAAAAGTAAAAAAATGAAAGTATATATATATAGATATAGATATAGATATATATATATCTATATCCTACCAATGGCTGGAAAAAGCTGGACTCAAGGACAGCACAGAGGCACTTATCCTAGCTGCACAGGAACAGGCCCTAAACACCAGAGCAATAGAGGCTCAGATCTACCACACCAGACAAGACCCAAGGTGTAGGTTGTGCAAGGAGGCCCCTGAGACAGTCCAGCACAGAACAGCAGGGTGCAAGACGCTGGCAGGGAAAGCATACATGGAGCGACATAACCAAGTGGCGGGCATAGTGTACAGGAACATCTGTGCAGAATATGGACTGGAAGCCCCGAGATCGAAGTGGGGAACACCCCCAAAGGTGGTGGAGAATGACCGAGCTAAGATCCTGTGGGACTTCCAGATCCAGACAGACAAGATGGTAATGGCGAACCAACCGGACATTGTGGTGGTGGATAAAGAACAGAGGAAAGCCGTTGTGGTGGATGTCGCAATACCAAGTGACCACAACATCAGGAAAAAGGAGCATGAAAAACTGGAGAAATACCAGGGCCTCAGAGAGGAACTGGAAAAGACCTGGAAGGTGAAGACCACAGTGGTGCCTGTGGTCATCGGGGCCCTCGGGGCAGTCACCCCCAAACTGGAGCAGTGGCTAAAACAGATCCCAGGAACAACATCAGACATCTCAGTCCAAAAATGTGCAGTTCTAGGCACAGCTAAGATACCGCGCAGAACCCTCAAGCTCCCAGGCCTCTGGTAGAGGACCCGAGCTCAGAGGGTGAAAGAGACCACCCGCGGAGGGTGAGAAGGGAATTTTTTTTTATATATATATATATATATATATATATATATTTACACATAAGCACACTAAAAAAGAATAAAAAATTTAAAAGATAAATTTCAGCACAGTAGATGKTGTGGCACAATAGCAGCACAACAGTACAATCAGTGTGTYAAATGYAGGGCCTGTATGCAACTTAGCAGCATTTYACATTTCTTAGGGATGAATGAATAAATTCATTGCACTTAATCTTCACTAAAACAAGTGGGTAAATAGATTAAACATCACTCTACAAACAAGAGCAAAAATTAATAGTAAGAATCAGTCAGTTAATTATTAATACCTTCTACAGTCTGAGCATCATGTGGAGATTAGCCTCTCTCTCCTGCAGGGAGCAGTTTTTATCACTGCTCTCATCATGTCACTCGTATTCCAAAACAAAATCTGTGCTCTTCCTTTCTTCTGTCCATCAATCCCAGAGATAATCCACGGGCAACATTCTGCTGAAGTCAAAACCGTAAAAAGCGTGCTGTCCTCGCTTCTGCCTGCTAGAACCACCGGAGTGAGAGGAGGTTCTGCTCGGTTGGAATCATGGAGACACTTTTGGACCGAGGCTGAACCGAGCCGAACCACAAAGTTGCTGCCAGGGTGGAGAGTAGTTGTCGCTCCGGTTTAAAACGTTCACGGTTCTGTGTTCCCACAGAAAACTTGTAMRTGACAACTTTGMMCTTAGCTGCAACTCTGTTTCYGATGAAAATAGAAAGTTCTGCCGACATTCTTGCTAACTTGTTAGCGCAGCATATTGTTGTGATCACGTGAGCGCTACATGCTGGATCCAAGCTCTGCTGGACAGAAACACTGGAGCGGAGTCAGTGGACTGCTGGAACGTACAGCTAATATCGGAGCGCTTATATCGGACATTTTTTATGCAGGCCGATAAAATCTGATACTCAATTTTTGGCTGATATCGGACCGTTATCAGATATCAATATCGGATCGGGACACCCCTAGTTTTTACAGTGTTTTGTAGCTTCGCTTGCTGCATCTATTTTCTTTGTATTTTCACTCGAGCCACCTCTACTGCACCATTTAAAGAAAAAATAATAATGTTTATAATATGTGTAAATATGATATTATCACCGTATGTGTGACTGACTGCAGTAGATCACTGTATGAGGCTAGCATAGATGCTAGGAGTAAAGCTAGCAGTATGCTACAGTAAAAACTAAAAGGTTTAATGTACCTGTTTATCAACAGAAAGTGCAGGGGAAGGATCCAGGTGGTCCGGTGATGGTCTTACTTTTATAAAATGTTTGGAGCCTTGGTTGCACTTTTTTCTGGTCAAATTCAACTCAGTCACTGGATGTCTCACTGCAGAGAACTCTACTTGAAAACAGACCATTTTAGCCATAACTCGAGACAGGAAGGGGCTAGCTGCATGAAACTTGAACGCCATACATTTGGAAAGATGTTTAACAATTCGGCTTGGCCAAAAAAGCTCTGACCTACCTGTAAAAAAAAAAATCACTGTTTTTAATCGGAGTGATAAAATCAGTGTTATTTGGCCAAAAGCCACCATAAGTATCTCTGTAAAACCTTTATAATCACAGAGTGACGTCATTCAACTCATTTATGGACTTATGTCTGTGTTTCGTTTACAAAAATGAACGTTTAATTATGAAGAAAGGCCAGGCAGGGGAATATCCCCCTCTGGTGGTGAAACAGATCATTTCCTGAATCCCAAACCTCAGCGAGAACTCCGCCCCCTCATTTGCATATTGGTCCATGAAATTAAACGCCATGAAATGGTAAAACAGCCTGAAATAGTAAAATGGAATGAAATAAAAAAGGGAGTTCAAAATAAAAGTCCATGAAATATATAAAGTAGCTTTACAAAATAAAAGTGTCAAAAAATAAAACCACAATATGTATTAAATACATAAATAAATAAATAAATAAAT